CCACCTATAGCACATGGATGAAGTTTCAAGTAATCTTGACTTATTCTCATCATTGCATGCAACACACTATTAAATTGTCGACTAATTGTTTCTTTAGAGCGATAATAGTCAAAACCTATGACCCTAAACTTCAAGTTGTGTGCCAGTATATTTAAGAAAATAGCCACAGACTCTTCAATTGAAACATTTCTTGTTGGAGTCAATCCACCCTTTCCATGCAAAATAGTGCATAAACTCTTAAATGCATTCTTGCTAACTCGTAATTGTTCATTACAGTCAACCTCCCACCCATTATACAAACGGTTCAAGTAACATCATCTTTCTTGATCCCAATCACGTGAAGGCTCTTTGACAAGATAAGTTTCATTATACATATGCTACAACTATAGCAATGACAGATGTAATGGTACCAAGAATAATTGACATTTTGTCCCTATTTTCTTCTTCATCTCTAGCATGCTTGAGACTTAAACGTGTAAGAAAGTTATCTACATCATCACTAGCCATACCTGTTAATTTATATTTCCAAATAATCTTATTATGTAGTCATATCATACACCAACAAAAATGTCATTGTAGAACTAATTAGTCATACTTGAGATAGCAGTAGAATGAATTTAAAGAAAACTAGAAAGATAAGTATGACTGGTGAGGGCTTCTATATATAACAGAAACTACAAGGTAGTATAATCCCTCAACCATAACAAACTCTGATGAATTTAGCTTAACTCGGAAAGCTCCTTCACACCCCATCATCTCTCTCCCAAATCTATTTTAGCTATGGTGGAAATCTTCTCCAAGATGAGATGGAGCAGTACCTTAGCTAAAATTGATTCAAACAGACATGAATCTTAGCTCAATTTTAGAGGATAATAAAGGTGACTTTGAAACATGATTTAAACTAAAATTGAGCTAAGGTACTTAAACAAACATGAATCACTTTAAAACAGACATTAATCTTCTCCAAGATTCACCTTTAGAGGATAATAAAGGTGACTTTGAAGAAACAGACATGAAAACCAAGATTCAAAATTGAAGAAAATGAAAATGGAAAGGAGGTATTATTATGTCTATGAAAACAGAGCAAAGCATGTCTTGTTGTAACAAATTGGCTACCCAACAAAAACAAACCAAAGAGCATTGGAAGACCCGTGGAAAAACAAAGATGAATAGTGCTTTGCAATGACAAAGCTACATTGACCATGTTTAAAAGCAGATAAAACTAATGAAGCTAAATATTTTTTCTTATGCAATAAAATCCCAATTTGCAATAATACATACCTTTTTTCCATTGGTTTGACAAACCACAGAAACAAATTCTTAAACCCAAAACTTAGTCAAACAAACAGAAGAAGAGACCATAACAGAAACTACAAGAAATTATGCAGAGTACAAGAAACAATAATTTCACAACAATAATCTATCCTTTATTGGAACAACACAGATTGAAAAGCAAGGATAAGTTGAGAGACTATACCTTTATTGGAGCAAACATAGTCTTAGACTAAAAGATGATAGATAGCAAAATCTGAAAACCACTCACTCTGTATCAGATAAAAAAAGATGATTAACTTCTGTTTTTTTGGGTCGAATTCTGGTTTTCAAAAAGAAACCAGAAGAGAGAGAATACGAACAGAGCCCAATCAAACCCATTAGATAAAGAATCAGATAACCAAAACAAAGTAGAGATAGATCGATCAAACCCATAAAATTGAATACCCATCAATAATATCAACAAAAAAAAGTTAAAAGGTGCAGCTAGATTGAAAGCTTACTAGCGAAACTTGGATAGATGGCCTTCTTCTCCCACTCTTGTTAGATGACTGATATAGGTGTCTTTGTTAGCGCGTAGCAAATGGAATTTCCCCCGCTCTTGAGATTTGCACAATTCCACCAATTATGATAGGATTTAAACTTGAGATTTTGGATTGGGAAATCCCTCCATATTTCCCGCAAGTGATTTGCCAAATCCTAGTAGATTTTGCCAAACGCATGGATTTCCCTTTTCCATTGGTGAAATCCCGATTTTTTTTCAAATCCCGTCTTTTTTTCCTTTTACCAAACACACGGTTAAATAATCTAAACAAGTTTTGTGGTATTCCAATAAGAATACAAAGATTTTTAAGAGCACCTCCAGTGCTCCCATTTTGCCTGGGCAGGAGGGGGCCTAGTGCCAGAGCTTGGTCTCCAGCACGCAACAAAAGACTGGGCAGCTTGTGGGCTCCACAAGCCTGGGTAGGCCCAAAGGCAAATCTTGCCTGGGTTTGCTGACGTCATTGATGATGTCAGCAATGAAAAAAAAATCGAAAAAAAATCTTAGAAAATACCAAAAATTTCAGATTTTTAAAAATAAATAAATATTTAGTCATATTCTTCACTTCCCACACCAAAATTAATGGTTTAAGTATAAAAAAAAATAGAAAAGAAATTAAAGTGAATAGTAATTGCCCTTGCCCTTGCCTTTTGGGGTGGAAACAAAAAAGGTAAGGGCTGCCACTATTCACATGAATAGTGACAAACCTTGCCTTGCCTTTGCCTTGCTCTTGCCCTTTGGGGTGGAGGTGCTCTAAATGAGGGTGTCAAAATCTAGTGGTATTCAATCAAGACTTTAAACAAGTAACAAAAAGTTTTATGGTGTTCAAAAACTTGCTAATTTCGACCGATTTTTTTAAATGTGAGATTGTGTGAGATTTTTTAGTGGAAGGTATAAATACCAAGCCCTATCTCAAATCCCACCCTAACCCATCAGATTTTTCATTAGGGATTTTTTTTTCTCTCTCTCTACCTGCTGAAGAAGATGAACAACAAAGCAAGCAGCAAGCCCAAGCCAAGCTTTTCCCAGACACCCACCAACTTCAGATGCTAACAAAAATAACAATGGGGAATTGTTAAACTCCTTGGCGCCAACCCAAAGCAGATGTTTCCCCGCCAAGAAACCCAAAAAACCCAATATTCCAACAAAAATCAGAAACAGAAAAGAGCAAGCAGACATTTGACCCGAAAATCTGGCATGGTAGGTGTTTGTGATTATGTCCCAATGACCTAGGTTCCTTGTATTTTGAATACTGCTTCCTTTTTGGTTGTGTTCGATAAAAGATAGCAAATGTATTTTTGGAATGTAATTAATAGGTGCATTCTTTGCTCTGTGTCTAGGAGAGCAAGCAACATAGAAAACTATTCGAGTTAGCTTTGCTACTAGTGAACCTGCAAGTTGCAGCTACCTAGTTTGCTTTGTATATATCTTATGTGTGCTCAACCGATTTCAAGGCAAGTTATTTTTTCTCATTATTTGACGATTTCTTGATGCTGCGTGTTATTGTTCAAATCAAATGGTGATTGTATGGGGTTTGGAGGAAGGAATGAAAAACAGAAAACACAATGATTAGGAAAAGGGTGATGATAAATTTTTTTTAAAAAGAAAGAATAATGAATGGTTTCTTGATATACAACTTGGCTAGATGGCCTATTAGCTAGAGCGTCGTGCTAATAACACAAAGGTCGCAGGTTCGAGACCTGCATGGGCCACTAATAGCATGTTTTGTTGGTTTAAATTTCTTAAAACTTTCTAAACTTGCTTCAACAATTTTCTATGACTGGTTTTCTTTTTATTTTTAAAAGTTTGGATTAATATTCTATTTCAAAAATTTATCATCAATCCACTTAGGAGTAAGACTGAATTTGAATTTTTTTTTTTTAAAGGAACTAGATATACATATATATTTTAAGTGGAATTCTATGAACAAATAAAAAAACGCAAAGAATTAAATTTAACACTGGTGAATTAGTTGATGAGTACGAAAGTGAGGAATTCGAACCCTCGGTATACAAATTTTTATGACATGAAGAGCTTGATACCTTAGCCGCTCTCTCCCTTGTTCAGTCCTAAAGAAAAATTCCATAGAGCGGGGAGGAGGAAGAAGTGTCACTGCCCCTCCTCTCTTCTCGTTGTTTCCTTTTAAATTAGTGAATAAGTCCACTGAGACGTTTTGAATAAAAAGCCCCTTGTGGTGGTTTCTTCTAAACCATGGTTAGATTGAAGTTCCCCATCACTTATTTTAGTCTATGTTCTCAATCAAATCCTACTCCCAAAGCTCCTTAACGCCGATCTCATGTTCTCTAAATTTAATTCTACATCGTCTGTGATGGAGGTTGCTACAAATCACCCAATTGTTTTTAGGCAAAGTTGTTGTTTTCATTTATTTGTTCACTCTTATGCGCAGGTAGATCGCTAGAAATCATATTTTCCTCAAATCTGTTACGGATGCAGTGGTGGGTGTGGCCGTGACGACGCTTCTTTAGTGATGGTGATAGGGTTTGTTTAGGCTCATGGGTTGTTTTAGGGTTTTGGTTATGTTGGGTTGTGGGATTTGTTTGGACTTATGGCTACTTGTGTTGATGTGGACTAGTAGTTTAAGTGCGGCTTATGTCCGCATTAGTTTTGCTTTCAACATGTTAATTTGTTATCTCTTGGGATTGTTATTTTAGTTGTCTTGTTGATGTCTTTGATTGTACCGTTGAAGTCTATCTAATGAAATTTCTATTTGATTATAAAAAATAAATAATAAAATAATAAAAAATAAAAAATAAAAAAGTTGTTGAATGTTGTGTGTATTTGGAAATTTTTAAACAATTTTTTTTTTATAATTAAAACCAACTAAACAAAGTTTAAGGATTGGTAATCACAAAAATTAAAGTTTACGAAAGGTCCAATATTTTAAGAACAAACTACTAAAAAGGCACATTTGAGATACTGAAAGTAGGGCTGGCAATAGATCGTGTCGTGTTAAAATTATATACGTGTCAGAAATGCTCAACTCAAACCCGACCCGTTTAATAAACGTGTCATGCACGGATTGACCAGTTCAGTTCTCGTGCGGATTTCGGGTCTTGTCGAGTTGACTCGCTAAGTGGTAGCAACTAAAAAACATTTTTTAAAAATTAGAAAAATGTAGAATAAACAAATAAACGGATTTCACAATTTTTATTCAGCAAGAATTCGGTTTTCACTATAATTTATGTCATTTACAAAAATTTGACTTGTGGGGATAGCTCACCAATCATATTGGTACTATTTTCTTCAGCATCACCCGGAATTTCTGCCTCTTGAAGTTGAAGGGCATGCTCTAGATTCCACAACACACCACTCATGGAGGGCCTGTCAACACGACAGTCGGCCAAGCATTTCTCGGCGGTTTCTCCAAATTTCCTGAGAGAATCTGGTCTGATTTTTCCTGCAAGGGTAGAATCTATTATTTGCTCCAACTGCCCCTTCTTCTGCCATTCCATTGCCCATTCAGCCAAGTTCATTTCCATTGGAAGGGACGGATCTAGAACAGGTCTTGCACAAAGGACCTCAAACAAAACCACCCCAAATGAATACACATCTGATTTCTCTGTCAGTTTTTTCCTTCTAGAATATTCAGGATCAAGGTATCCAAAACTCCCTTTCACTGCTGTACTGACATGGGATTGATCGATTTCAGGCCCCATCTTGGAAAGCCCAAAATCAGCAACCTTGGCCATGAGGTTTTCATCAAGCAAGATATTTGCAGATTTCACGTCACGATGAATAACTGCTTTTGCATAGCCAGTGTGAAGGTAGTGAAGTCCTCTAGCTGATCCAATGCATACTTCAAGCCTTTGCTTCCAACTTAAGCTGGGGTGACCTGAGCCATAGAGATGACTCTTCAGGGTTCCGTTCTCCATATATTCATATATCAGAATCATCTCACTCTTGTCATCACAATACCCAATCAATAAGACAAGATGGCGGTGACGGAATTGAGATAGCATCTCAATTTCAGTCCTGAACTCTGCAAGTCCCTGTTGAGACCGTGGATTTCCCCTCTTCACAGCCACTTTAATTCCATCATTTAAGACTCCCTTGTATACCTTCCCAAAACCACCGATTCCAATAACCCAACTCTCATCAAAGTTATTTGTAGCCTCTTGTACAACCCCAAAAGGAAAACGATAGCTATAGTTAGAAGCAGCACTAGCAGTTGTTCCATATGAGTATTTACTTCCCATGGTGTGAGAATTGGTTCCATTAATGGAAAAGGGAAGCCATGTCTTAGAATGGCCCTGGTCTGCCAGTCTTTTC